CCCCCACTTACTTCGACTACTGCTGTTTATAGGGAGGCCCTTGGGGCAGGTTTGTCCTCTGTGTAGGCTACAGACTTGAAATGAGCAGAAAGGGAATGGCTGGAAACCAGCTGACCAGCATATGACTGGAAGACAGCTGTCTGTTCCACACCAGAAAAGTGTTTGAACAGAAAGCAGGGGGGTTTGTTCCCCATTCCTGGCATGATCCTTTGTTCCTTTTTCCCTCATTTATTGCAATAGCAGTTTCGAGCCAGAGGAAGAGGCTGGGGCAGAGGCAACTACTCTGGGAACAATAACAACAACAGCAACAACGATTTTCAAAAAAGAAACCGGGAAGAGGAGTGGGACCCAGAGTACACACCCAAAAGCAAGAAGTATTACTTGGTATGTGTCTGGGGATAACCAGGAAGGGTCAGAGGGCCTTTGACACCCACAGTAGCTGATACCAGGCCTTAATTAGTTTGTCCAAAACTGCGATTAAATTTATGTGCAGGAATATTGCACTGGGGTGTGCTAACTGGATGGGTGTCCTCTAGAGAGGCAGTCCTGGTCTTCAAAGGGTTTATCATTGAAGATGTTTATGGTTTCCAAGATAAGCAAGAAGCATTGGTCTTGTCTTTTTAGTCTGTGAACTTGTTTTACTGCTCAACCACCACCCCACCCTCAGTCTCCCTCATTCCTGTGGATAGAGCCATAACCCTTCCCCAATGCTGCTGTTCCTCACTGCCACTCCTTCATGCAAGAATGACAAGAAAGACAGCTCAGGATCTCTTTGAGGAAAGGGATGTCTCTCCAAAATGAAATGCCACTGGGGCTTCTCTCATCTAAGCTGTTAATCATTCCCCTGCACTCTGGGCCTCCTTCAGATTAGAACTTTTATAGGCTGAAGTACCTGGCCTTGAGTGAGCACTCTTGGCCTTGGTATGTAACAGCAGGGCGAAGATCCAGGCCGGTGTGAGTGTTATAACTAAGGTAAAGGAGCAGCTGAATCTCCATCACCTGCTAGAATGGCTGGAATGAATCTGTATTGTCAGTTGGACAGCTAGGAAACAGGTATTGTGTTTCCTGTGCATGGCCACCATCCCTTTTCTAGGGTTGCTGCTGCTGGTAGCTGCTTTGAGGCTACTAGAGGACCTTTGAACTTATCTCTAGGGAATTGTAGTTGGATGGGCCCAGGTTGGGTGCTGGAGTGGGACTGCTGTAGGGGAAGGATTAAAGGCCATCTCCCTTGCCCCATCTGCCACCTGAGAGAGTATTGCCAGCCTGATTCATTTAGTGTGAACAAGCAGCCGTGGTCAGAAGAAGCTGACACTTCTGCTGAGCTGAGCTCCAAGAGCCTAAGACCCAAGCTTGTGTGGGGGGTGGTTTAGGTTCTGAAGTCTTGGGGCTGATAAGGTAATGACTGCTGGTTTTCAAAATGTTTTCTCATTCATTGTTTGATTGGATCCCTCCTTCTGTCTCATGAGATTGTCAGAGCAAGGATTGTTTGAAATGTAGGTTAATCCTTTCCTTGAACTAAGTGAAAAAGAAAAAAAAATGAAATGTAGGTTAAGTGTTCTTCCTACTTTGTCACACTGCCTCCTTGCATAAAACAGGGGAGATACAAAATGAGAGTGGAGTTGGAGGGTCAGGAAGAGCCCCAGCCCCAGCATTGGATTCTGAGCATTTGGAGTGCAGTGACACTATCTCGGCTCACTGCAGCCTCTGCCTCCTGGGTTCAAGCGGTTCTCCTGCCTCAAGCCTCCCGAATAGCTGGAACTACAGGCACACACCCCCATGCCTGGCTTTTTTTTTTTTTTTTTTTTTAATATTTTAATAGAGACAGGGGTTTCACCGTGTTGCCCAGGCTGGTCTCGAACTCCTGAGCTCAGGCAATCCGCTCGCCTCGGCCTCCCAGAGTGCTAGGATTATAGGCATGAGCCACTGCACCCAGCCGCATTGCCTCCTTTCTTAACTGCTTAGCAACCCAGTTCACATGGAGTTTCACGTTTTGGTGTGATTGGCTTTCTCAGACCCATCCTTTGAGAGAGGATATACTAAATCATATGGAGTTGCTTAAAGTTCCTAAGCTTTTTCCTCGTTTGCAGAGTGGGAGGTGATAGGATAGATAAGAGGATTAAATGAGATAGTATATAAATGTCTTACTTCAGTGCTCAGTGACTTTTTTATTTTCCTTAAACTATGAAGGGTTCATGCTCAGTGAATCATCATCATCATCGTCCTCATCATTATTACAATGCTCAAGCTGTTACCTTAAAATTTCTAAATCACTCAACTGATATTCTTGTGGATCTGAACCACTGGCATTTTTGGAGCAGGGGACAGGGAGAAGTGCAGAAAAGGAGCAAAAGGCTGGGTTTAGGGCACAGGTTCTTTTGGGAAAGGCACATTTGGGTGGGTGCAGAGGAGAGAGCTCTGGCCACATCTTACTCACTCTGGCACTGATGGCAATTTTCTTTCCCCTCAGCATGATGACCGTGAAGGAGAAGGCAGTGACAAGTGGGTGAGCCGGGGCCGGGGCCGAGGAGCCTTTCCTCGGGGTCGGGGCCGGTTCATGTTCCGGAAATCAAGTACCAGCCCCAAGTGGGCCCATGACAAGTTCAGTGGGGAGGAAGGGGAGATTGAAGACGACGAGAGTGGGACAGAGAACCGAGAAGAGAAGGACAATATACAGCCCACAGCCGAGTAGGGGCCACCATTGACGGGATTCCTGCCCAGGGGAGAGGGGCACTGGGAAGATGGCTGGCTTAACAGAGGAACCTCAAGAAGATTGCGTAAATCCTACCCCCACCCCCCACCAGCCGTGCAGATTGTACTACCACAAAAGGCATCCCTGGCACTGTCTCCCACTGGACAGAGGAGGCTGGCCGTGGAGCCCGGGGGTCAGGCCCAGTTCTTGAGCAGAACACAACGCATTGGGCTTTCGCTGTTTTTCTCATTTGTTGTTGGTGTGTGGGGGTGGGGGCAGGGGTAGGGCGGGAGAGCGATGCTTGGATTTTTGTTTCCTATTAGAAACCAACAGTTTTGTTCTAATTTCTTTTCATTTGGAGCTAAGAGGACTAATTCGATGATTTTCAATCTCTTCTCCCCTGTCCTGATTTTAAAAGCCCTTCTTTTTTTTTTTTCTTTTTTCTTTTTTTAGGCATATGTAGTAATATTAGAAACATTTAATTTGGGAAACTTTGATTCTTGAAAGAGAAAACAAAGCATGTGAATAAACTTTGAAGTGTTCACCTCAGTTTGGGACCAAACTGCTTGGCTCTTTGTAAAAACCGGTTTTGTATGTCAAGGAGGAGTTTAAGGCCTTTCCGACCACCTTGTGTTCCCCTTTTCTGCGCAGCCATGTATCACGTGGAGTTGCTCCTAACCACACCTCACGTGCCCCTGAGCCCTATTTCCTGATTTCTTCTGGGCTGGACTTCCCTATTCTCCACCAGCAGCTCCAGTATCCCAAACTTTCTAGTCCTGCTGATCCTCCCAGCAACGGGGTGGAAACTGGAGGGCAGTGTCTGGTCTGTTTTCTAAGAAACTTATGAATTCTATTATCTTTACAAATATAAGATGAGAAAATTTTTTCAATATTTTTTATTAATCTTTTTATAAAATGAAAAGAAACTCCTGTGATCGATTAAGGAAGGTGGTTATGGCTGGGTGGTTCATGGGGTTTTTTTAGTTTTTTTTTTCTTTCTTGTCTTTAACCTTAAGCTGTTTAAGTTGAAGCATTCTCAGATGTTTGGGGGGAAACATCCTCTTAAAATGGGTCCTTGTGCTTGCCTTCTGGGGAGGCGGTCCTGAGCAGGTGAATCATAAGGCATTTATGCATATGTTATATGCGGACTGCACCCACCTCTCCCCCCAGCCTTTGCCTCTTGGGTTGTTGTGCTGCTTTCCCCTTACTTTGCTACATTTCTATAGTTAAGTTGGTTTTACTTGAATGATTCATGTTTAGGGGGAAAATGAAAATCTCCCTTAAAATTTGTTTCAACTCCTCCTGCAAATAAAATAAATGAAGTGGCAGATGTAAACGGGCTTTGTTCATTGTCACCCTGAGTGTGTGTGTGTGTGTGTGTTGAGGGTGGTAGATAACTTCTCACAACAGTTTCAGAAAACCTGAAAGACAAAGGGCCTGTGGGGCCTTGCGCAGGCTGCTGAAGTCCCAGACAGACACAGTCGTTCCTGGGAGGAGCATTGTGTACCTTGGACACCCCAGGAGAAACAGATTTTTTCCGCTAGTGTCATAGGCAAGGACTTTGGCTTCCTCCGTGGTGGTGGGGCAGGGGTCAAGGGATGTGGTTAGTAGGCTCAGCCTTCTACCTGAAAGAGCCTATCCCACATGGACTGGCCATAGGTGGGCCCTAACATTCAGACTCCTGCCGGCTGGGGGCTCAACTGTGAGCAGAAACCTTGGAAGCTCGTAAAGTTCATTCTCCCTGCCTAACTCCCAGGGAGAACCTGGAGGTGTTTTCTGAAACCAAACCAAACCAGACCTCTGGCCCCAAAGCAGGGGTCTTTGCTGTCTCCTATATGGGGGTAGAGGGTGGGTACGCGGCCAGAGAGGAGTACGCCTTGCAAGAAAGACTGGAAGTGTCCACTCAAAAGTTATTGCTGGTACAAGGGCAGCCACTTCGTTCACTCAAGGCCGGTTTAGAGCTGTTGCTACCTGCTGGGGGACCCCACCCTGGTATGTGCCTCTCCCCACCTTTTCCCCTGGAGCCAAAAGCTTGTGAGGTGGGGGAGGGTGGGCCTGGGAAGGCTCTGTGCAAATTGTAGCTGGGAGCCTCCGGGCAAAAGCTGAGCGAAAGGGAGAGGCGGCTGGCCTAAAATTTAGGTAGGCGGGAAAAGCCTGTGACGGAGCTGTAACCGCTGCACAGGCCAGAGACCCTAGAGTCCTCCTCACCCCGGGGTTGGGGGCTGAACCTGCTGAGCCGGGCCGCCCCCTCTCCACACCCACTCCCAGCACCTGGCCCGACCTATCGGCTGGCGGTTACGCCTCCTTTACCATACTGTCTTGCCTCCGGTCGCGCGCGGGCCCAGTACTCGGCCGTCAGCGGGAGCTGCCAGGCTCTGGAGGGCGCCCCGGAAACCATGGGTAAGTGCGGAGGCTTTGAGGTGGCCTCTCTCTGCAACCGTGGACATGGCAAGAGCCCACACCACCCCCCGGCCCCCGCTGCCCTCTACGGTGTCTGGGGACACGCCCGCCCTGGCCAGGCTGCCCCGCCTGGGTCTTTCTGAGCCGCGCGCCGGCCCCGTCTTCCGCCCGCAGAGGTCCTCGTCCTGGCCGGATACCGCGCGCAGAAGGAGGACGAGCTGAGTCTGGCGCCCGGGGACGTGGTCCGGCAGGTGCGCTGGGTGCCCGCGCGGGGCTGGCTTCGCGGAGAACTGGGGGGCCGCTATGGCCTCTTCCCAGAGCGCCTGGTGCAGGTGAGGCCGAGCCAGGGGCGGGCTGTGGGGTCTCAGCGCGCGCCCCGCGGGAGCTGAAAGCGCCTTCCCCGTGCCCTGATTCCCAGGAGATCCCAGAGACCCTGCGGGGTTCCAGAGAGGCGCGGAGACCGCGCTGTGCGCGCCGCCGAGGTGAGCGCAAGGTCCGGGACGGGGTCCGGTGGGCGGGCGCGCAGAGTCAGTGCGACCCCGGCGCCTCTAACTCTTGGTGACGGGCACGGCTCTGGGCGGGGCCCCGGGTCCGCTCTGCGGCCTGTGATTGGTTCTCGAGTACAATGCTCCGCCCTGGGGCGGGGCTGGAGGTACCAAAGGCTACGTGCGCGCCTCGCGCTACCCCCAGCTCCTCGTACTGGGGCGTCCGGCTCGAGCTGCGGTGCGCTTGTCCGGTGCTAGGTCATCCTGCCAAATACCCGGGGCCCCAAAGATGGTGCAAAGTGAACTTCAACTACAGCCCAGAGCAGGCGGACGAGCTGAAGCTGCAAGCTGGGGAGATCGTGGAAATGATAAAGGAGGTGAGGGGTGAGGTGATGGGACCGTTAGGGGAAAGATGATGGAACACGCCTCCCAAGTGAGTGGGGTGGGAAGTGAGGGTGTGGACAGTGGGAATGGCAACGGCGCAGATATGGGGAAGCACGGGATAGAGGGAGGAAGGGGCGCTTGGGCAGAACCAAGGGTGGAAGATTATCCTAGGGATCCTTGGGGCAGAACCAGATGCCCCTGCGTCCTACCCCCTCCCCAGATTGAGGACGGCTGGTGGCTGGGGAAGAAGAACGGGCAGCTGGGAGCCTTCCCATCCAACTTTGTGGAATTGCTGGACAGTGGGCCCCCAAGTGAGACCTCGACCCTGTGACTCGCAATCTCCAATGACCCTCCCAGTGGCATGAGCCTGTGATTCACATATCCTGACCCTGTGACCCCTTTGACCCTCTCCCATGACCTAACCTGTGAATTAGCACCCTCCCTAACCTCACTGTCCCTCACCAGGCTTTGGTAACCCAGACATGCCTTCAGTCAGCCCTGGTCCCCAGCGGCCTCCCAAGGTAACTTGGCTCAGAGTGGGCACAGAGGTGGTGAGTTCCTCTTGGGGTGGTTGGAGGCTCATCTGGTTCCTCCCTGCCCCTTCCCCCACTAGCTGAGCAGCCTGGCCTATGACAGCCCTCCAGACTACCTGCAGACAGGTGAGCACCCATCCAAAGGGTCCCCCACCCCCTCAGCCACTCCCAAGGTTGTGACTTGGGGCCAGCTGGGCTGATGGAGGCGGGGGCTGCTGATGAATGGGGGAGGCTTGGCTTCAGAGGACAGTGGACTGACCTCTTCCCAGTCTCCCACCCTGAGGCCTACAGGGTCCTGTTTGACTACCAGCCTGAGGCCCCAGACGAGTTGACGCTGCGGAGGGGGGACGTGGTGAAAGTACTCAGCAAGGTGTGAGAGGAACAGGGTGGGGGGGCCCAAGGAAGTGGGTGTTGAGAAAGGGTAGACCTGCACATGTACCCCCGAATCTAAAATAAATGTTGAAATTACATCTATAAGGAGTGGGACCCCGGAAAGGACCTTGGGGGACCTGGCTCACCTCCCCACCGGCGTGTTTCTTTCCCAGACCACAGAGGATAAGGGCTGGTGGGAAGGAGAATGTCAAGGACGAAGAGGAGTTTTTCCAGACAACTTCGTACTCCCACCACCGCCAGTGAGTACAGAGCCAAGACACTCAGGTGGTGGGGGCAGGCTATTTTGGACAAAGGTGGGGATCATGGCACTCTCCGGACCTAACTGAAGGGTCACTAAATGAGGGTGGACCTAGACATGTGGCAGCTCCTTTTGGAATATAATACCAGTTGAGTATCCCTTATCCAAAAGGTTCGGGACCAGAAGTGTTTCGGATTTGGGAATTTTTGCATATACATGAGATAGTTGCCGGGCGCGGTGGCTCACACCTGTAATCCCAGCACTTCTGGGAGGCCGAGGCAGGTGGATCACGAGGTCAGGAGTTCAAGACTAGCCTGGCCAACATGGTGAAACCCCGTCTCTACTAAAAATACAAAAATCAGCTGGGCGTGGTGGCACTCATGTAATCCCAGCTACTCAGGAGGCGGAGGTTGCAGTGAGCCCAGATTGTGCCATTGCACTCCAGCCTAGGCAACAAGAGCAAGACTCCATCTCAACAAAAAAAAAAAAAAAAAAAAAGAGCTTGGGAATGGGACCTGTACACGACCTAAACACGAAATTCATTTATGTTGCATATACACCTTAAACCATAGCCTGAAGGTGATTTTATGCAATATTTTTAATAATTTTGTGCATGAAACAAAATTTTGACGAGACCTGTAACATGAGTTAGGTCGGGTATGGAATTTTCCACTTAAGGCGTTATATTGGCACTCAAAAAGTTTCAGATTTTGGAGCATTTTCGAATTTTTTTTTTTTTTTTTTGAGACAGAGTCTCGCTCTGTTGCCCAGACTGGAGTGCAGCAGCAGGATCGACGCTCACTGCAACCTCCCAGGTTGAAGCGACTCTCCTGCCTCAGCCTCAGAGTAGCTGGGATTACACGTGCATGCCACCACATCTGGCTAATTTTTGTATTTTTAGTAGAGACGGGATTTTGCCATGTTGACCAGACTGGTCTTGAACTTCTGTCCTCAAGTGATCCACCCACCTTGGCCTCCCAAAATGCTGGGATTATAGGTGTGAGCCACTGTGCCTGGCCTGCATTTTGGATTTCTGATTTTTAGATTAGGGATGCTCACCCTTTACTTCTTTTCTGCATAGATCAAGAAGCTGGTCCCACGGAAAGTGGTATCTCGGCAATCAGGTGAGTGCCCAGGGAACCCAGGATTGGGGGGTGTTCTCTGGGAGACCCACTGGTCCAGTTGCTTATAAACACCCACAGCACCCCAGTGGTCCAGTATGCCCCTATAGGAGTCCCCTCACCTGTGGGCCAAGAGCTGGGTAGGAATGTATGTGAATCAATGTGTGGGTCAGTTTGTGTGTGTGTTAATATGTTAGTGTTTCTCTGTGTGTCTTGAGAATGTGGCTCTTGGTGGGTATAGATTTGTTTCATTTTGTAAGGAAACATATGAATCTGTCTCTTCATATATAAGACTGTATATGTTCACATGTCTTATCTGTCAGTGAATAGCTCTGTCCGTGAGTCTGTAGAATGTCTTTTTATTTATCTTTTTTTATTTATTTTTTTGAGACGGAGTCTCGCTCTGTTGCCCAGGCTGGAGTGCAGTGGCGTGATCTCGGCTCACTGCAAGCTCTGCCTCCTGGGTTCACACCATTCTCCTGCCTCAGCCTTCCAAGTAGCTGGGACTACAGGCGCCTGCCACCACACCCAGCTAATTTTTTGTATTTTTAATAGAAACGAGATTTCACCATGTTAGCCAGGATGGTCTCGATCTCCTGACCTCGTGATCCACCCGCCTCAGCCTCCCAAAGTGCTGGGACTACAGGCGTGAGCCACCGCACCCAGCCTTACTTATCTTTTAATGTAATATTTGACACATGTCAAAAGTATATGTAACACATATGTTATAAAATTTAACACCCACTGGCAAGGCACAGTGGTTCACGCCTGTAATCCCAGCACTTTGGGAGGCCAAGGCAAGTGGATCACCTGAGGTTAGGAGTTCAAGACCAGCCTGGCCAACATGGCAAAACCTTGTCTCTACTAAAAATATAAAAATTAGCCAGGCGTGGTGGGCATCCCTGTAATCCCAGGCTGGAGTGCAGTGGTGTAATCCCAGCTCACTGCCCTCTGCCTCCCAGGTTCAAGTGATTCTCCTGTCTTAGCCTCCTGAGTAGTGTGCACCACCATGCCCAGCTAATTTTGTATTTTTAGTAGAGATGGGATTTCACTATGTTAGCCAGTCTGGTCTTCGAGACCAGGGCACAGTGGCTCATGCCTGTAATCCCAGCACTTGGAGAGGCTGAGTGAGGTGGATCACCAGGTCGGGAGTTTGAGACCAGCCTGAATAACATGGTGAAACCCCGTCTCTACTAAAAATACAAAAATTAGCCAGGTATGGTGGCGGGCACCTGTAATCCCAGCTTCTTGGGAGGCTGAGGCGTGAGAATCGCTTGAACCCAGGAGATGGAGGTTGCAGTGAGCCTAGATGGCACCACTGCACTTCAGCCTGGGAAACAGAGTGAGACTCTGTCTCAAAAAAAAAAAAAAAAAGAAAAAGAAATCATTTCCTGCTCCAAGTTTAGAAGGATAATCATCTATATTAAAACTTTTAAAATGTTGCTATTCATATTAGTGCTTTTATTCATGTAGTAATAATTTTAATGAGTGATACAATTATACCTTTTTCCCTATGGACAATGAGTTGTTCCAGCATCATTTATTATTTTCTACATGTGAGTTTTATACAATTTTGGGGGTTTCTTTTTTCTTTTCGAGAAAGGGTCATTGGGTCTTTGTTACCCTGGTTGGAGTGCAGTGGCAATTGTAGCTCATTGCAGCTTCCACCTCCTGGGCTTAAGCGATTCTTCCACCTCAGCCTCTCTTGTAGCTGGGACTACAGGCACAAGCTACCATGTGCAGCTAATCTTTTAATCTTTTTGTAGAGACAGGGTCTCACTGTGTTGCCCAGGCTGGTCTTGAACTCCTGGGCTCAAGCAATTCTCCTGTTTTGGCCTCCCAAAGTGCTGGGATTAGAGGCGTGAGCCACAGTGCCTGGCTTAGTTTTATACATAAAACTATAATCTATAATTTTTTTTTTTTTTTTTTTTTTGAGGCAGAGTCTCGCTCTGTCGCCCAGGTTGGAGTGCAGTGGCGCGATCTCGGCTCACTGCAACTTCCGCCTCCCAGGTTCATGCCATTCTCCTGCCTCAGCCTCCCGACTTGCTGGGACTACAGGCGCCCACTACCACGCCTGGCTAATTTTTTGTATTTTTAGTAGAGATGGGGTTTCACCATGTTAGCCAGGATGGTCTTGATCTTCTGACCTCATGATCTGTCTGCCTCGGCCTCCCAAAGTGCTGGGATTACAGGCGTGAGCCACTGCACCCGGCCATAAAACTAGAATTTTTCATGAGGTTTATTCCCAGATATTCTTAGGTATCTCAGAGTTTTTAATGTGTCTTTAAAAAAACAGACATTCTTCTGTTTATTGCAGGAATACAGAAATGCATTGATTTTTGTATATTGTTTTTATAGCCAGCCATGGTGCTAAACTCTGATTATTTCTAGTAATTCATTTGTAGATTCTTATAAGTTTCCTATGAAGACAGACATGTCATTTGTGAATAATTTTTGTTTCATTCTCTTCATTCCTGCCTTTTAGTTTCATTTTATTAATTTATTATAGCAATTAGGATCTCTCATATGATGTTAAATAGAAATAGTGATGGTGAACATCATCGTCATGTTCCTGATTTTGAATCTAGTTTTCGTTTTTCTTCTTTTTTCTTTCTTTTGAGACAGCGTCTTGTTCTGTTGCCCAGGCTGGAGTGCAGTGGTGCAATCTCAGCTCACTGCAACATCCACCTCCCGGGTTCAAGCAATTCTCCTGCCTCAGCCTCCCAAGAAGCTGAGATTACAGGTGTGCACCACCATACCTGGCTAGTTTTTGTATTTTTAGTAGAGACGGGGTTTCACTATGTTGGTCAGGCTGGTCTCGAACTCCTGACCTCATGATCCGCCTGCCTCAGCCTCCCAAAGTGCTGGGATTACCGACGTGAGCCACTGCGCCCTGGTCTCGAAGACCAGACTGGCTAACATAGTGAAACTCCATCTCTAATAAAAATATAAAATTAGCTGGGCATGGTGGTGCACACTACTTGGGAGGCTAAGACAGGAGAATCACTTGATTCTGTCACAGCCTCCCAAATAGCTGGGACTACAGGTGTGCACCACCACATCCGGCTAAATTTTTTTGTATTTTTAGTAGAGATAGGGTTTCACCATGTTGGCAAAGCTGGTCTCAAACTCCTGACCTTGTGGTCTGCCTGGCTTGGCCTCCCAGAATGCTGGGATTACAGGTGTGAGCCACTATGCCTGGTCTAGCTGGTGGATCTTATATAAGATGGGAATCGGCTGGGCATGGTGGCTCATACCTGTAATCCCAGCACTTTGGGAGGCTGAGGCGGGCAGATAATGAGGTCAGGAGATCGAGGCCATCTTGGCTAACACAGTGAAACCCCGTCTGTACTCAAAATACAAAAAAATAGCCAGGTGTGGTGGCACATGCCTGTAGTCCCAGCTACTCAGGAGGCTGAGACAGCAGAATCGCTTGAACCCAGGAGGCAGAGGTTGCAGTGAGCCGAGATCGCGCCACTGCACTCCAGCCTGGGTAACAGAGCGAGGCTCTGTCTCTAAATAAATAAATAAGATGGGAATCATCTTTCCTTGCAAGCTGGTAAAACTTGTCTGTAAATTCATCTTGCCATATTTTTTTATTATGGGATTATTTTAAACAACTTCTTCAATTTCTTTAATAGTTAAACAAAAGTCAGGGTAAAATTCTTCAATCAGTTGTGGAGTTACATGTTTTTAATTGTATATTTTATGTAAGTTTTCTAATTATTTGCATAAAGTTGTTCATAGTATACTCTTTTATTTTGGAGAGATAGGGTCTTGCTCTGTTGCCTAGGCTGGAGTATGGTGGCACAATTGGAGCTCGCAGCAGCCTCAGACCTCAAGTGATCCTCCCACTGCAGCCTCCCGAGTAGCTAGGACTATAGGTGTGCACCACCACACCTGGCTAGTTTTTAAGTTCATCGTAGAGAAAAGGTCTTGCTATGTTGCCCAGGCTGATCTGGAATTCCTATGCTCAAGTGATCCTCCTGCTTTGGCCTCCCAAAATACTGGGATTACAGTTGTGAGGCACTTCACTCAGCTCTTTCTGTTATCTTTTTAATGAAAACTGTCCTGGTGGGTATGAAGTGGTATCTCATTATGGGTTTGATTTGCATTTCTCTGATGGCTAATAATGCTGAGCATATTTTCATGTGCTTATTTCTTTTGGAGAAATGTCTGTTTGGATCCTTTGCCTATTTAAAAAATTGGATTATTTGTCTTTTTTTGCTATTGAGTTAGAAGAGTTCTCTATATATTCTAGATAGAAGTCCCTAATCACATATATGCATATATGGTTTGCAATATTTTCTCCCATTCTCCCTTTTTTTTTTTTAAGTCTTGCTCTGTTGCCCAAGCTGGAATACAGTGGCATAATCTCAGCTCACTGCAACCTCCCCCTCCCGGGTTCAAGCGATTTTCCTGGGTCAGCCTCCCAAGTAGCTGGGATGACAGGTGTGCACCACCACACCTGGCTAATTTTTGTATTTTTAGTAGAGATGGGGTTTCACCATGTTGCCCAAGTGGTCTTGAACTCCTGACCTTGTAATCCATCCACCTCATCCTCCCAAAGTTTTTCTCTTTCTTCAGGTTGTCTTTTCACTTCTTGATGGTATCCCTTGATGTACAAAAGTTTTACATTTTGATGAAGTCCCATTTATCTAATTTTTTGGTTGGCTGTGCTTTTGAACCAATGTCAGATCCCAAGATTACACTCCAAACTGAGATGCCTTCAACTTAGCCAGTGAAGCTGCTGATCCTCAATTTGCCCTACCCCGCAGAACATCCATGTGGACCAAGCTGAGGGGCCGGGGATGAAAGCAGCCCTAGGCAAGAACATTATCAAGCATACAAAATGCTCTGCAAATTACCCCAGCACTTTGAGAGGCTGAGGCGGGCACATTGCTTGAGGTCACGAGTTTGAGAACAGCCTGGCCGACGTGGTGAAACCCTGTCTCTACCAAAAAATACAAAAATTAGCAGGGCGTGGTGGCAGGTGCCTGTCATCCCAACTATCTGGGAGGCTAAGGCATGAGAATCGCTTGAACCTGTGAGGTGGAGGTTGTAGTGAGCCGAGATCGCGCCACTGCCCTCCAGCCTGGGTGACAGAGCGAGACTGTCTCAAAAAAAAAAAAAAAAAAAAGGCGGGCGGGGCTCAAGCCTGTAATCCCAGCACTTGGAGGCCGAGACGGCGGATCACGAGGTCAGGAGATCGAGACATCCTAGGTAACACAGTGAAACCCCGTCTCTACTAAAATACAAAACTAGCCGGGCGAGGTGGCAGGCGCCTGTAGTCCCAGCACTCAGGAGCTGAGCAGGAGATGGGTGAACCGGAGGCGAGCTTGCAGTGAGCTGAGATCCGCACTGCACTCCAGCTGGGTGACAGACAGACTCCGTCTCAAAAAAAAAAAAAAAAAAAAAAAAAAATCCTTCGCAAATTATCTCATGCCTTTGGATAATTTCCAGAGCATTGAAATGGTTGTTGGATTTTTTTTTTTCTTTTTTTGGGGGTAGGGAAGGAGTCTCACTCTGTCTCCCAGACTGGAGTGCAATGGCACAATCTCGGCTCACTGCAACCTCCACCTCCTGGGTTCAAGTGATTTTCCCCTGTTAGCCTCCTGAGTAGCTGGGATTACAGGCACCCACCATCATGCCCGGCTAATTTCTGTATTTTTGCAGAGAGGGGGTTTCACCATGTTGGCCAAACTGGTCTCGAACTCCTGACCTCAGGTGACCCACCCACTTCGGCCTCCCAAAGTGCTGGGATTACAGGTGTGAACCACTGCGCCCGGCCTGTTGGATCATTTTTGTCCAGCTTCATAGTTGCCTTGTGAGGAGAGGATTTGTCCACCACCTCATTCAGCCAGAGCCAAGCCCTGCTTCTGTCATTCCTCCCTCCTAACATTGCTCTCATTCTGTGCATTCCTTGGCTCACTGCACCTCTAGTTTATAAATTCTCTCTCTAGCCTTTTGGCTCTGTTTGCTCTGTAACCTGTACCGGCAACATAAGCAATATGCATATAAGTAAGTGGATTTATGTTGCATTTTTTTTTTCAAGAATGCTATTTTTCATCTCTAGTATTTCCGTTTTCTATGTGGTAATTTTCCAAACCTGTGTGGTTATTCCTGATTGTCCTTTGTTCCATGCACATCCTGAATTTCTTCAAATATGTTATACATAGCTATTCAGTATTCTCTACCTGACACTTCCAGTATCTGTTGTATGTTGTGTCTGCTGACTCCATTCTTGGTGACCTGCCCTCTGGCGTGTTTTGTGACCTTTGTTTATGAGCTGATAGCTGGATTTTAATCTGTGGGACTCTTGCAGGTCTTAGTAGAAGAAGACTTCTTCCAGCGAGAATTTGCTTTTATTTTTTGTTTTGTTTTTTTGAGATGAAGTCTTGCTCTGTCACCTGGGCTAGAGTGCAGTGATGTGATCTCAGTCACTGCAACCTCCTCCTTCCGGGTTCAAGCGATTCTCGTGCTTCAGCCTCCCTAGTAGCTGGGATTACAGGCATGTGCCACCATGCCCGGCTAATTTTTGTAGTTTTAGCAGAGATGAGGTTTCACCATTTTGGCCAGGTTGGTCTCGAACTCCTGACCTCAGGTGATCCACCTGCCTTGGCCCCACAAAGTGTTGGGATTACAGGCATGAGCCACCGTACCCAGCCGAGAATTTGCTTTTACTTCTGCCAGTGGCCAGAGAACACCACCCACCAGAAGCCGCTTCGGTCCTCCTGAAGAAAGGTGGCACTGCTGTGTGGTACTGAGCTCGGGGCCTGTGGTGAGCTGAGGAAGCAGAGCCCAGGGCCCTGGCTTCACACCACAGGGCCCAGGCTCAGTAGCCACAGAGTAGAGCTGCCCTCCCTCTGCCTTTCTGGCTTCAGTTCTCTCTCTTTTTTTCTTTATCTTTATCTTTTTTTTTTTTTTTTTTTTTTTTTTGAGACTAAGTTTTGCTCTTGTTACCCAGGCTGGAGTGCAATGGCATGATTTGGCTCACTGCAACCTCCACTTCCCAGGTTCAAGCGATTCTCCTGCCTCAGCCCCCCAAATAGCTGGAACTGCAGGCGCCCGCCACCACACCTGGCTAATTTTTGTATTTTTTAGTAGAGATGGGGTTTCACCATGTTGGTCAGGCTGATCTTGAACTCCTGACCTCAAGTTGATCCTCCCATCTCAGCCTCCCAAAGTGCTGGGATTATAGGCGTGAGCCACTGGGAGTGCTGGGATTACAGGTGTGAGCCACTGCACCTGGCCCAGTCCTCTCTTCTGTAGACCTCCTTTACCTTTTAACTCCAACAGTGCCTCAAAATTGTGTCCTCAGCAGGATATAATTGCTTTCTGATGGGAGCACCCTTCAGAGCATCTAATCAGCCATAACCGTGTAAGAAGCAGAAGTCGGCCGGGCGCGGTGGCTCACGCCGGTAATCCCAGCACTTTGGGAGGCCGAGGCGGGCGGATCACGAGGTCAGGAGATCGAGACCATCCTGGCTAACATGGTGAAACCCTGTCTCTACTAAAAATACAAAAAACTAGCCGGGCGTGGTGGCGGGTGCCTGTAGTCCCAGCTACTCGGGAGGCTGAGGCAGGAGAATGGCGTGAACCTGGGAGGCGGAGCTTGCAGTGAGCCGAGATCGCGCCACTGCACTCCAGCCTGGGCGACACAGCGAGACTCCGTCTCAAAAAAAAAAAAAAAGAAAAAAAAGAAGCAGAAGTCAAAGTTAACATTTACTGAGCTTTGACCATCTGGCTGCCAAACAGTCTTCTGGGCACCTCGCATGTATTAAAAGTCACTCAGACCTCACAACCACCCTACAAAGGTGTGTGTTAGTTGTCCATGTTTTATAAATGAGGACACTGAGGCATAGATCACTTGGCAAGTTCCCACACAACTAGCAAGGAGTGGAGCTGAAATTCAGAGCCTGGTGTCTGGCTGTGGGATCCATGCCCCCACCGTCAGATTTGTGGATTTGTATACGTATCTGCGTGTGATTATATATAGGAGTTAACGTCAGCACTTGTGCACAAGCCAGAGTGGCTGTTTTTCTAAGGATCTGAATGTCACTGTGTGTAACTGCCTTCAGGCGATGCTCATGTCACCTTAGTGTGCCCTTCTCTGGCCACCCCATTTAAAATGGTTCCTTCCTCTGCCTAGTGTTTTTTTGTTTTGTTTTGTTTCTTTGAGACAGAGTTTTACTCTTGTCGCCCAGGCTGGAGTACAGTGGCGCGATCTTGGCTCACTACAACCTCTGCCCTCCTGGGTTCAAGCGATTTTCCTGCCTCAGCTGGAGTAGCTGAGATTACAGGTGCACGACACCATGCCTGGCTAATTTTTGTGTTTTTAGTAGAGACGGGGTTTCACCATGTTGACCAGGCTGGTCTTGAACTCCTGACCTCAAGTGATCTGCCCACCTTGGCCTCTCAAAGTGCCAGGATTACAGGTGTGGGCCACCGTGCCCAGCCCCTCTGCCTAGTCTTGTCAGTCACACTTAATAACTCTTTAATACACTATGTATTTTACTCCTTGTATTTATGTCTGCTTCCCCAATAGAACACGAGCTCAGTCTGGCTGCTGTGGGAAGAACACACTCTAGGTGGGGTGGGTACAGCCAAAACCCAGGTTGGAGGCTGTTGGAATGTCCAGGTGAAGGTGACGGTGACTTGATCTAGAGCACTTAGTGGTGGAGGTGGTGACAAGTGATGGAATTCAGGAAATACCTGGACAGTAGTGTGGACAGGATTTACTGATGGTTTGGATGTGCCTCACAAGGAAATAAAAGGAGTCATCTGTCATCCAAACAAGTGGGTAAATGGGCCAGATGGGGACCGTGGGGAGAGGGGTAGATTCAAGGGTCATGGGTTTGGGAAGCAAGAGATTGGTTTGGGATATGCTAACAGTGTGATGCCCATCAGCTCTCCAAGTGTAAGTATTGAGAGGGAAGTCAGATATGAGTCTGGAGTCAGAGAGGAAGGAGCTAGAGATGAAAATTTGGGAATCATTGACTTATAATTAAATCGATAAGACTGGGTGGTATCTCTAGAGAGTAAATGAGAGAGAAGATAAAGAATTCTGAGGGTGGGCTGGGCGCGATGGCTCACGCCTGTAATCCCAGCACTTTGGGAAGCCGAGGTGGACGGATCACGAGGTCAGGAGATCGAAACCATCCTGGCCAACACGGTGAAACCCTGTCTCTACTAAATATACAAAAAATTAGTTGGGTGTGGTGGCGGTCACCTGTAGTCCCAGCTACTCAGGAGGCTGAGGCAGGAGAATGGGGTGAACCCGGGAGGCAGAGCTTGCACTGAGCCAAGATCACGCCACTGCACTCCAGCCTGGACGACAGCGAGACTCCATCTCAAAAAAAAAAAAAAAACCCACAAAAATTGGCCAGGCGCAGTGTAATCACGCCTGTAATCCCTGCACTTTGGGAGACCGAGGCAGGCGGATCACGAGGTCAGGAGATCAAAACCATCCTGGCTAACACGGTGAAGCCCCATCTCTACTAAAAATACAAAAAGAAATTAGCCGGGCATGGTGGTGGGCGCCTGTAGTCCCAGCTACTAGGGAGGCTGAGGCAGGAGAATGAACCCGGGAGGCAGAGCTTGCAGTGAGCCAAGATCGCGCCACTGCACTCCAGCCTGGGCACAGAGCGAGACTCCGTCTCAAAATAATAATAATAATAATAGTAATAGAAAAATTAGCCGGGTGTGGTGGCGCATACTCAGACAAGATTAGCCTCCTGCCCACAGTCCCCTGCATAGAGCACAAGACAGGGCCAGCGACTGTCAGATGGATGAATGCTCCACTCCTCTCTCTTCCCAGCTCCTATTAAGGAACCAAAAAAGTTGATGCCCAAAACATCCCTCCCCACAGTCAAGAAACTAGCGACAGCCGCCACTGGGCCCAGCAAAGCCAAGTAAGGAGCAGGATGGGGTTGGGGGAAGGAGGAGGGTAGAAGGAACACCCCTCCCTGTGCCCCACCCTGAGGGCCTGATGAAGATATGTTCCAGGACATCTCGGACACCCAGCAGGGACAGTCAGAAGCTCACTTCCCGAGACTCAGGTAAGGGCTGCCCTCCAGTGCAGGGAGGACGGGAGGACAGGGATGGGGTGGCTGTGCGGACGGACAGAGGTGGGAAGAGACTGAGGGTCAGAGTAGGCTTGGGTCCCTGAAGTTCTGCTCTCTTAGGCCCCAATGGTGGCTTCCAAAGCGGGGGTTCGTGTCCCCCTGGCCGAAAGCGATCCAAAACCCAGACTCCCCAGCAACGCTCTGTGTCCAGTCAGGTGAGGGGCAGGAGACATGGGAGAGGGGATGCTGGGCAGAGGCTGGTTCCCAGCTGTGGTGTGCACAGGCGAAGTCTCCCAGGCCAAGGGGAACCAGACTCAACCTCAGCTGAGACTTCACCTCCCATCATGGCAGGAGGAAGAGCACAGCAGCCCAGCAAAGGCCCCCTCTGTGAAGAGAACCCCCATGCTGGACAAGACCACAACTCCAGAGAGGCCCCCAGCTCCAGAGAATGCCCCCGGCTCCAAGAAGATCCCGGTTCCTGACAAGGTCCCCTCCCCAGAGAAGACCCTCACTCTAGGCGACAAGGCCTCTATCCCAGGGAACTCCACCTCGGGGAAGATCCCAGCTCCTGACATAGTCCCCACCCCAGAGAGGATGGTGACTCCAGAGGACAAGGCCTCTATCCCAGAGAACTCCATCCCAGAGGAGGCCCTGACTGTGGACAAACCCTCCACTCCAGAGAGGCTCTTTTCAGTGGAAGAGGCCAGTGGCCCAGAAGTCCCACCAATGGATAAAGTCCCTGATCCAAAGATGGCCCCTCTGGGGGATGAGGCCCCCACCCGAGAAAAGGTCTTGACCCCAGAGCTTTCTGAAGAAGAGGTGTCCACCAGAGATGACACTCAATTCCATCACTTCTCTTCGGAGGAAGCCCTGCAGAAGGTCAAGTCCTTTGTAGCCAAAGAGGCTCCATCATCCCAGGAGAAGGCCCACACACCAGAGGCACCCCCACTCCAGCCTCCTTCCTCAGAGAGGTGCCTGGGAGAGATGAAATGCCCCCTTGTTAGAGGGGACAGCTCCCCACACCAGGCTGAGTTGAAGTCTGGGCCAGCGTCCAGGCCTGCTCTTGAGAAGCCCCACCCCCAGGCAGAGGCTACAACGCTTCTAGAGGAGGCACCTTCCAAAGAGGAGAGGACCCCTGAAGAGGAGGCATCCCCCAATGAGGAAAGGCCTCTGAGAGAGGAGGTGCTCCCGAAAGAGGGAGTGGCTTCCAAAGGGGAGGTGCTCCCCAAAGAGGGAGTGGCTTCCAAAGGGGAGGTGCTCCCCAAAGAGGGAGTGGCTTCCAAAGAGGTGCTCCCCAAAGGGGGAGTGGCTTCCAAGGAGGAGGTGCTCCCCAAAGAGGGAGTGGCTTCCAAGGAGGAGATGCTCCCCAAAGAGGGAGTGGCTTCCAAAGAGGAGGTGACCCTGAAAGAGGAAGTGGCTCCAAAAGAGGAGGTGCCCCCTATAGATACAGCCTTTGCCCAAAAAACACATCCTATCAAGCCGTCTCCAGACTCCCAAGAGACACTCACGCTCCCCTCCTTGCTTCCGCAAAACTACACGGAAAACAAGAATGAGGGAGTCGATGTAACGTCGCTGAGGGGCGAGGTGGAGTCTCTAAGGAGGGCGCTGGAGCTGATGGGGGTGCAGCTGGAGTGAGTGGGTAGCGGCGGGGGTTGTGGAAGGTAGGGTCCCCCCTAGCCCTCACCTGCCCAGCGCCTCACCTCCGCCTTGGCCCGCAGGAGGAAGCTGACCGACATCTGGGAGGAGCTGAAGAGCGAGAAGGAGCAGCGCCAGCGGCTGGAGGTGAGGCGCGGGTCCTGGCGGGAGCGGGCTGGTGGCGGGTGGCCCCCTGACACAGTCTCCACCTCACTCCCGGCCAGGTCCAGGTGATGCAGGGGACCCAGAAGTCCCAGACCCCGCGCATCATCCACGCGCAGACGCAGACCTACTGAGGGCGGGCCTGGGAAGGGACCGCGGCCCGTCCTGGCTGGGGCCACCCACGTCCTTGCACACGACTTTGGGAAACTCGAGAAAGTAAACTCTGCCTCGCAAGGGGCCACGCCGGTCTGGTCGCTAGGGGCGGGGTCTGCGCGGGGGCAGGGCCTGGGCCTCCGCATTCCTGACGGTCCCTCCCGGGCACATCTGTCCAACATGTGGCTCCCATTACCGTTCCCAAGGCCTGCGCGCGGCTATTTTTATCCACCGGATGGTGAGGGGCGGGGGATGGTGTCTCCTTCCGACGCCAGCAGCGCGCTGGAGAAATGGCGGGCAGGAGGGGCCCAGGCGGGATCGGGCTCTGACGGCCTAGATTCCGGAATCCAGCTGTGCGCCGGGGAGGAGCCGAGCGGGCCTTCTCGCGAGCTCGGACCCCTCCCAGCTGGCCTCCCTGTCCACTCAGAGGGACCCCTGCCCTCTCGTTTGAACGCACCTCGGTGAAGACGTGAACGGCCCAGCCCAGCACGCATGCTTACACCGGGGCTAGTAGGACCTTAGCCTCTAGGTCAGGGTCCCGAGGCCTGGTGTGTGTGTGTCATTGCAATGTATGAACCCAAGGCACTGTGGGGACAGGGCTACGTGTGCCCAGGCGTTTGCCGGTAAGGAATGCGTTGTGAGTGAGGAATGCGCGTGCACTTGCTCTGTGTGTGAGGCTGGGTGCAGGCCTGTGGCCTTCTGCCTTTCCGCTGGCTGTGAAGTGAACGCGGGCAGGTGTGCTGTGTCGTGGGGTTGGTGGGTGGGGGTGGTGCAGCTAGGGTAAGGGAGTCAAGGGGGGGCCTCAGCCCTAGGACCCCTGCGTGGCAGGAGCCTGGGGGCCGCTGGGGGCAGGAGTAACAGAGGGAGAGACTGAGTCACTGAGAATGCAGCTTTCTTTCATTTGGTCACTTCACCTCTTCATCACCCCCAGAGAGGGAGTGGGGACCCTGCATCGTGCCCCCTCCCCGCCCCTGGGGTCTTCTGGCAGGACTGGGGAAGAGAGACTCGCGGGGGCTGGCGGTCCACGCCCAGTAGCACCTGGGGGCCGTGGGGGCCGATGCAGTCCGAAGGTCCGGAGCAGGTCTGGGCTCATGTGCAGGTCCGGTACCCCAAGCGCCTTGCAGCGGGACCCGGGGCCCATCAGTAATAGTGCATGCGGCCCAGGGTGCCCGCGCCCGTGGCCGTGGGGCTGGGCCCCAGCGTGCCTGTGCCCAGCAGGTCCGGCTGCCCGGTGCGCCAGATCTCCCGCAGGATCCTCTCACGCTCCTCCAGCCGCTGCGCCCGCTCCAGCTCCTCCGCCGATGTGAAGACGTTGACACTGAGGGGCCCGTCGGGCTCCGCGGACAGCTCGGGGCCCGGCAGCGTGTCGTCGGGTCCCAGCCGCGTCACCGTGTCCTCCTCGTCCTCGTCGTCGTCCTCGGGCTCCAGGGTGCTGCTGCGGGGGTCCCGGCGCTGAGCCGGGCCCCGGGGCCGCGGGCGGGGCGCCCACGAGATGCTGATGACGAGCAGGCAGAGGGTGAGCAGCAGGCCGAAGCAGACGCCCAGCACGAAGTAGAGGCCGAAGCTCTCGGGGTTGGCTGCGGGGCACAGGGCGGGGGTCACGGAGAGGGCCGGGCGGGTGAGGGTCGTCCCACTTCCAACAGACCCCAGGTTCAAGGTGTGGGGACGAGGCCCGTAACCCCTACTCGAAGGGCATTAGGGAACCGCCAGCGGGCAAGGGGGCGGGGAGCGGGGCGGAGGGGACGGGCAAGGCGCTGGGGAGGGAAGGGGATGGTGGGCAGGGAAGGGTTCAGGCCCCCAGTCTTCCGGCGCCCGCCCTCACCGCGGATGTGCGCGTAGGCAGCCAGGCTGTTGCTGAGCAACTCCATGTCCCTTCGCGGGGCATCCATGCTGCTCTGGGGGGCAGCTCCCCTGCCAGCCTGCGAGGTCAGCAAAGTCAGATCCTCCTCCCAGCCTGGAGCCCACCCCGACCCCTTCCGCGGGCAGCTCCTCTCCCGGGAGCCGCGGCCCCAGGTTCCACCCTGGAAAGAGCGCTTCCCTAACTTCGTGGCGGCCCTGGGCCCTGCCGGGGGGAACCCCTCTCCCGGGCGCGGACGCCCCTCCAGCCCAGGGAGCAGCGCCGGGGACCGCGGGAGGCCCCGCCCCCTGGTGAGGTCCCCAGCTGAGGCCCGGTTCCGCTGTCCCCGGACGGGATGGAGGATAGGAACACTGAGCCTCCACGCCCCAGGCGGGCTCCGGGAAGGGAAACCGCCTCCCTCCTCGCCCGGCCGCCCTGCGGGGACCCACCGGCCCGGGGCCGGGCCCACTCACCGTCAGCGCCCCGCTTCCCGGCTGCCCGGCCCCGGCGCGTCCAGCGGCCGCATACACTGGGCCCGGCCGCCCCCACCCGCTCCGGCCCCGCCGCCCCTCCGGCCCCGCTGGGCTCCCAGACCGCGGCAGCGCGGGCGGGACACGGGCCGAGGGACGAGCCGGCGGAAAGTTTCCTCCGAGGAAAGAGGAGGGACGGGGCGGGGCGGGCGGGGAGGCGGGGAGGAAAAGGGCTGGGAGAGGAAGGGGAGAGGAGCGGGCAGCCGGGAGGAGGGAGATCCCGGCCCGCGGGCCGTCCGTCCCCCACAGGAAACCGCCGGGGAGGCCGCGGCAGGGACCCGCCCCCAGGCCACTAACAACAACAACAGCGAGGCTGGAGCTCTGCCTGCGTGCGGGCCGAGGGCTGAACCCTGGACAGGTTCTTTGACTTACTCCGGCTGACAACCCTACGACGTGGTACCATTATCCCCACTTCGCAGATAATATAAACAGAGTCTTGGAGAGATTGAATTGACTTTACAAAAACTGTCGGGATTTGAACCTGCTGTTCTCTGACCCTAAAGCCTGAGCTCAAAACCACAGCTCCCCCTCCTAGGAGGCCCCATCCAGGGAAGGCTGCTTCTCTTCCCCAGACCCATGCCGGTCTGGAAGGGAGGGGACTGTCCACCCCTCCTCCCTGGGCCCAGGCTTGAATGTGCCCCCTGGCCGAGCTCTGGTCTGGTCACGCAGGGTTAATGATTGTTAGACTCCAGCTTTGAGCCAGGCACCGTCCAGCAGCCTCGCAGTCCCCAGCGTGGGGCCTCTGTGCCTGCAAGCTCCTGCGCTCTTGTGCACCAAGCAGCTTGTGGCGGCTTGTGGCAGATCCCACCCCATCCCGCCCCCCACCCCAAGGCTAAACCTACCTGTGCTCACACACGCATTTCCCACCTGGGCTTGTGCATGCAATGTGGTGTGTGATCAGTGTGTGTGGCTGGGGGCTTCTTTCTGCCCTGTCTCCCCGGGGCCCCCCATCATGGGCCTCCCCTCCCTTGTTGGAGCTAGGATGAGGGGGAGGCCGTCTTGGCGGGAGCCTTAGAGAGGAGGAGGGAAGGGGGAGAGGAAATTGCAGACATAGCTGAAGGCGCTGCCTGAGGCCTGTGGGCCAGCGACCCTTTCTCTGTCCGGGCTGCAGACCCCTACTCCCCCAGTCCCGAGACTGGGTTCAAGTGGAGGGCATATCTAGATGGGGGAGGACCAGGACTGACTCCTATGGGGATGGAAAAGGGACTCCTGGGTGTTTTTGTGACTGTTGAGTCTGTTCTGTGAATGTGTGGGGAGGTATTTTTGCCCACATCTGTATATTTGTCTATTAATGTGATGTATTTGAATATTGTTGTGGGGGCGAGTATGTCTGCATATACATCTGTGCAGCCACTAGTCAACAAATATTGTGTATGCCTAGCACTTCCTAGTCTAGTTCACAGCATCTGTGGATTTAACCAACTTTGCATCAAAAATATTCAAAACCGGCCGGGCGCGGTGGCTCACGCCTGTAATTCCAGCACTTTGGGAGGCCGAGACGGGCGGATCACGAGGTCAGGAGATCAAGACCATCCTGGCTAACACAGTGAAACCCCGTCTCTACTAAAAAAATACAAAAAACTAGCCGGGCGAGGTGGCGGGCGCCTGTAGTCCCAGCTATTCGGGAGGCTGAGGCGGGAGAATGGCGTAAACCCGGGAGGCGGAGCTTGCAGTGAGCTGAGATCCGGCCACTGCACTCCAGCCTGGGCCACAGAGCGAGACTCCGTCTCAAAAAAAAAAAAAAAAAAAAAAAAATTCGAAACCAAAATTGCATCTGTACTGAACATGTACAGAATTTTTTTTCTTGTCATTATTTCCTAAACAATAGATTTATTTTATTTTATTTTTCTTTGAGACAGGGTCTCACTCTGTCACCCAGGCTGAAGTACAGAGGTGCTATCTCAGCTCATCACAGCCTCTGCCTCCTGGGCTCAAGTGAGCCTCCCATCTCATTGTCCCAAGTAGCTGGGAGGGATCACAGGCGCACACCACCATGCCTGGCTAATTTTTTTAGAGATGGGGTTTTGCCATGTTGCCCAGGCTGGTCTTGAACTCCTGGGCTCAAGTGATCCACCCACCTCAGCCTCCCAAAGTGCTGGGATTACAAGTGTGAGCCATCGTGCCAGCCAATAGTATATTTTCATAGTGGTTACATTATATTAGATATTATAAGTAATCAAGAGATGATTTAAAGTATACAGGAGGATGTGTGTAGGTTAAATGCAAATACTGAACCAATTTATTTTACATCAAGGACTTGAGGATCCTCGGATTTTGGTGTCTATGGGAGGGAGCCAATCCCTTGAGAATACCAAGGGACAGGGTTTTTTTTGTTTTTTGTTTTGTTTTGTTTTTGAGACGCAGTCTCCCTCTGTGGCCCAGGCTGGAGTGCAGTGGCACGATCTCAGCTCACTGCAAGCTCCGCCTCCCGGGTCCAGGCCATTCTCCTGCCTCGGCCTCCCGAGTAGCTTGGATTACAGGCAATTGCCACCACGCCTGGCTAATTTTTTGTATTTTTAGTAGAGACAGGGTTTCACTGTGTTAGCCAGGATGGTCTCCATCTCCTGACCTCATGGTCCGCCCGCCTCAGCCTCCCAAAGTGCAGGGATTACAGGCGTGAGCCACCACACCCGGCCCTGAGGGACAGTTTTAATGGGGATTTAACAATAAACAGAACAGACACAAATCCTTGCCCCCATGGAGCTGACACTAAATTGGAGAAACAACAGAAGATCATCTCAGATGCTTCTAAGTGCTGGGGGGGTGACAGGATAGGATAATGTGATGGAAAACACCTGGGGGTGGCTCTCACAGGGACATCCACAGTGAGACCTGAATCCTAAGGAGGGGGCAGTTGTGCCAGGATCTGGGGAGAGTGTCTGGGCAGGAGTAAGAGCGTGCTTGGGATACCTCCCTCCAAGAGCAGAAAGCCATGTAGATGGTGTGTGGGTGCAGGGGAGAGTGGCAGGGGCTGCCCATGCAGGGACTCGCTGGCCTTGCTGATGAACTTTGCCCAGGCTGGAGTACAAAGGCTCGATCTCACTGCAACTTCTGCCTCCCGGATTCAAGCGATTCTCCTGCCTCAGCCTCCCGAGTAGCCGGGATTACAGGCATGCACAACCACACCCTGCTAATTTTATATTTTTAGTAAAGATAGGGTTTCTCCATGTTGGTCAGGCTGGTTTCGAACTTCCGACCTCTGGTGATCTGCCCACCTTGGCGTCCAAAGTGCTGGGATTACAAGTGTGAGCCACCGTGCCCGGGTGCTTGGTTTTTAGTGTAAGTGTGGTGGGGAGCCCCTGGAGCATTGAGCAGGGGAGTGTCATGGTCCTGTGACACATTTTGGAAAGATCCCTGTGGTGGTTCAGTGTAGGGTGGGCCACTGTGGGCAAGAAGGGGAGCAGGGAGGGTAGTGAGCAGGCTGGCAGCTGTCCAAGCCCTCACGGGGCCAGTGGAGAGGCGAGAGGGCTCAGACTCAGGTGGTGTTCTGAAGGGAGTTCCTGCACTGGACTTGGATGTGAGGGAGAGTGGAGTTTAGAACACTTTCATACTGGGCTGGGGCACCTGAGGAAAGCCCATGTGGGAAGCAGGTTTGGGGGAAGTCAGTCTCACTGTAGATAGGTTAGACTTGAGATGCCCATTAGATATCCAGGTGCAGGTGTTGGCAAGGCAAGTAGAACCCCCAGGAATCTGGCTGGAAATGATATTTGAGAGTCCTTACCACATAACATGGATTTACCACCCCAGAAGTGGATGAGACCCACCTGGGCTAAGGGGGCAGAGAGAGAAGGGTCTGAAGCTCAAGCCCATTGAGGGGTCTCCTGGAGGTGAAGTCAGCAAGGAAAGACCAGTGAAGTAGGAGGAGAAACAGGCCAGAACAGGGACATGATTAGCCAAGTGTGATCGGGCTGAGAGGTGAAGATGAGGCCAGAATTTGCCCACTGCTTTGGCCGAGATTTGAAGACCGTCAGCAATATTGAGTTTCTGTGGGTTGTATTCCTATTTCTTCAAGAGATGTATGTCACTGACTGTTTGCACAGGTAGCTTATTTATGTGCAGCATTGCTGGGAGTGCATGAGCATGTTTAATGCCTGCCATCCACGGAAATATCGGTGTGTGCTATAGGGTGCTTGTATGACCACATGTGTTGTGTGCCTCAGTTCGTGTGGCACATACCTGTGTCTGTGAGAGTCCACGTGTGTGCTCCTCTATGTAAAGTCTAAAATTTTGGATCTGTTTCTGTCAAGCTGTTTGCATGCACCTCTGTGCTATGCAGCTCTCTGTATCTCTGCCTGCAGGCAAAATTGTGTTTGTGTCTGGGTTGGTATGTGACATATGTGTTTGGAGTGCGTCAGGTATGACTCAGCCCTAGTGGAGCAGGATGAGGGTTGAGATGGTTGCTGGCTGCTTCAAAGAGAGGGACGCACATTAACCAGAGTGCTGTCTTCCCCAAGGGCTTGCTGTGGCCAAGCCAGGCCAGGTGGGAGAAGCAGCAGCCTTGCCCTGGAGGGTTTTGAGAAGCGCTGCTCCTGGAGGACCTGGGGAAGATGCCTGAAACCTTTGGCCAATGTGGTTGTCCCCACGGTCCACATGCCCTCCCCACCCCCTGCCTAGCTGCTTGACTGCCTGCTGCTCCCCAGCCCACCAGCCTGTCCGTGGGTCAGCCCAGCCACCTGCTTCGGATCTCTCTGCAGGTTTGTCACCTGCTGTTCTGGCCCTCATCCCTACTATCCACCTGCCCATCTCCTCCCTACCTCCTCGCTGCCTGTCTGCCTAGGACTTACCTGCTGTCTGCTCACCCACCTGCTTGTTGACTGCTATCTGCCTGTGAGACTAGAGATTTGTCACCTTGGAAAGCACGGCGAGTGCTCCTAAGATGAAACACGGGAAGGACAGGCCTTGATGGAAGGTCGGGGGGCTGAGAGATCCAGAGCCTATGGGAGGGGCCTTGGGAGTGCTGGCATATTCAGGACCCAGTGCAAACCCAAGCACAGCTCTGCTCCCGGCCCCAGTGGCCAAACTGAAGCCTGGCCGTGTCTTTTCTGCCATTGACATGGGCCTCACCCAACCATGGGGATAGGTCTTGGATGGAGGGAAGATGGGGACTCACCAGGGGCCTCCTGAGTCCTTTGAGTGTCCCCATGACCCCAGCACCGGGACAGCTGCTGGAAAGAGGATACTGGCAAAAATTTGCTAAATGAACAATAATAGGCCCGGTGTGGTGGCTCATGTCTATAATCCCAGCACTTTGGGAGGCCGAGGTGGGCAGATCACTTAAGTCCAGGAGTTTGAGACCAGCCAGCCTGGGCAACATGGCGAAACCCCGCTTCTATAGAAAACGACAAAAATTAGCTGGACATGGTGGCGCACACCTATAGTTCCTGCTACTCAGGAGGCTAAGGTCGGAGGGTCGCTTGAGCCCAGGAGATCAAGGCTACGGTGAGCCGTGATCGTGCCACTCTACTCCAGCCTGGATGACAGAGGAAGACCCTGTCTCAAAACAAAACAGCAACAACAAGAAAACAATAATAGGGACATTGAGTACCCTTTCTGGCACCTGGCACTCTGCCAAATGCTGGGCACGCTCCGAGCCTTCAGTCTTCCCAGTAATCCTGTGCATTTTATAGCA